AGGAAGAATGGAGATCCTACGATTTTAGGACGGCAACGCGACGGCAACGGCTACCAATACAATAGTTCATTGAAAAGAATTGAGTAATTACAATATATGAATAATTTATACATTGTCCTCGCTCTGTTTACAACGCTAAATTTTATCACAGATTTTCACGTCTTGATACAACGGCTGCATTCCAAGCCACAACAAGTGCACCATTTATTTGAAGGAGTTTGTTTTGGCCGTCGCCATTGCGTTGCCGTCCTAAAATCGTAAGGTCCCTAATGTGGGAGGCTAAGCGAACTCAAGATAGCGCATGATTAGTTCATATTTAGTATTTTCTATTAAAATTATAAGAAGTGTCTGACTTTTAATTGTTATTCGGGATAAATAATGACCGGTTCCTCAGGAATTCCGTGACAATGGACCTTTCACCTTTTGACTAAAATTTAGATTTCAACAAGTCTAGACAAAAATTTTATCACAGCTTGAAAGAGCATCACAAAATTAGTAATATTCCGAAGTTTGGTTGCGAAATGTTGTAAAATGCGCATAATATAGCCTTGCGAAGTTTGTCATTTTCAGTCATTTTGTATTACGCGCGGGGACTGAAAATTGCAAACTTCTCAAGGCTATATTATCCGCATTTTACAACATTTCGCAACGAAACTTCGGAATATTACTAATTTTGTGATGCTCTTTCAAGCTTATATTCCTAATGATAGATACAAGTATAATTGCCAACGAAAGCTTAAGTTCTTTGTATGTTTGCATGGCGATAAAACATATAATAGTTTTGTTTGTGCAGTAATAAATTTACGTGGTGTTTCCACAAACAAAGTCTGTGAAACTTATCTAGTATAGAAGGGTTTAGTAGATGAATATGTCGAGTGTGAATTTTATACATTTATTAATTTAGGCTTGTTTACACTTGCAATTTTTGCTGCGATTTTCCTCTTCTGAAGGATGTGAACGAGTAGATGAGTCACGAATGTTCAGATGAGAGTGCACCTTAGAGTTCACTGGAGTCATGGAGTGCACCAGGCAGTGACAGAACATTCATTACTCATTGCTAAATCGCAGCGAAAAATGCAAGTGTAAAAGGGCCTTTACCCCCTAACAAGGAGTATGCCAATGTAAGGTGTATGGGTACCCCTTATTATCTAGTAAGGTAGTCAGCCGGTTCTGGCTCGCTGCAGTCGCTTATGTACTTTTACAGGTATATTTTACAGTCTCCTATCGTATATACAACAAATATTATCTAGTAACAACTAGCCTGTTCTATGCAAAACTTACCACAGATAAACAAGGCTAGAGCCATCACACGCATCTCCATAACAATGTGTTCGTGGACAACAAATGAAATGTGTAGCAACACTTCTGCAAAAGCATCAGCAGTAATTTTCACACAACAAACCGCAGCTGAATATCATGCAGCACAATCAGGCTGAAACCTGAGACAGACTGAAATACAATATCGTCAAAGATGTCATGTCGGAAATTCCTCGAGTACCTGAGGAATTTCTCGGGTAAATCCTCATCAAATAAAGAGACATGATATTGCATCCATACAGAAATACCGTATTGCTAAAAATTGCATGTTGGGTAACAAACCCAGGTAAACCTGCACATCGTGTATTGTTGGTGCATGCATGTAAAATGTTTTACTATTTTAAAACTTGATCAAATTAGGTCATACGTACAAGGGTTTCCTTTATGGAAGTTTTTTTGGTCAAGACAAATTATGGAAAGCACACTTTTCAATTTGTTGCATCAAAAATATGGGAGTCTATTGACTTGAAAATAAAAAGTTCGTCTTCATTTGAAATCTTTAAGAAAAGATATAAAGCTGCCCTTCTACAAAATCAATGAAAAATGTTATTGAGACTTGAGTCTATATGTGTATGTATATGCATATATGTGTATATGTGTATGTATATGTATATGTGTACATATGTATCTGAGTGTCTTTATTTAAGCTCAACCATATAAAATAATCTATATGATCGAACGTAGGTAGTGCATGATCAACTCGAAAGTTTATGCTCCTTTGATCACTACGCACCTTCACTTTATCAAATTAACTTGAAATTATTCATTCAAAACATAATTATTTGTAAAATTTTGTATACATTTTCTTTGTTTTGTAAATAGTGCAGTTCCTGAATAAATCTCTAAAATCTCTAAAGTGTGAATGTTATAAACCGCCCTTCTAGTTCTGATATTTGTCATATGTCCAACCCGTAGAGCTAGTTTGAAAACTATGAACAACGCGAGAAAAAGAATTGCCGTAACTGGAAATAGAGAAAAAACACAGCCGTCAAAATATATTCCCATATGATTTACCACGCTATACAGATTCACCAAAAATCTATCGACGTTGTCTAACAATTTGACAACAAGATGTGTTCGCAACAGGTTTGTACCAAGCTTGTCAACAAGTTGTAACAATGTTGTTATTTTTATCAAGTTGCTACAACGTTGTCACTCACAACTTGTAACAAGTCTGTTGCAGGCCTCGAATTTCCCTGAAATTCATCGAGACGGCAATGGCCTTAAAAATTGCTGAGAACGTAACAGCTGTCTACGGCAATTTTGGCAGTTTCCACGGCATTTTTCAAATGTCTCAAGGCATTTTTCAAATTACTGTAATAAAAATTTAATTGTATTGTTATTTAATTGGATTGCTGACAAGCTAGTAACATGTTTACGTATTTCTCTAGTGTGTTTTTTTTCGAAGAAAAAGACTAAAATAGTAGTTTACGCATGATTTGATCAACATCTGAATTCGAGTATCAAAATAGTAATGTACAGTGAATAGTATAAAAATTACACTATACGGCAAAAAATTGCCGTATGTGCCGCAATGATCCACGGTATTTTGTTTTCCCTCTACTGCAATTGCCGCGATAAAATTCAAGCCCTGGTCTGTTGGGCTCAACAGCCTCAGTGTAGCAAAGTGTAGCAAGGTGCAACAAGCCCTTGACAACTTATCAGCAAGCTGAGAACAATAATGCGAACACATTCTGTTGACAAGTTGTTGGAACAGCATTGTCACAAGTCTGCTGCATGTTTATTGCAATTTGTGCGTTTTTACGTGTGTAGCCCACTGATCTGGAAATTCTAGATCAGTGGGGTAGCCTGCACGCCGAGTCTCGTGACATCGTAAAAAACACACAAATAGCATTTACATAACACGATAACGAGTTGATATAGATGGGCAATATCACAACAACCGCGCATTCAAAATATGTACGAGCTCATCAAATTCTAGTTAGAAAGAAGTGCTTTTCAAGTGTCGGATTCTGGAAAATGGCCAACAGCAACGCTGCCATGAAATTCGAACAAAATATCTTGGTGGGAAATTTTCTGACGTCGTGCAGGAATTTTTTGTCATCTTGCAAATTGGAATGCCGCATAATTTGCGTGTGGTTTAAAACAACAATTCCGACAATTCCTGCAGATGTATTTGTTATTTGTCGAAAATGAAGTTTACCAAAATATGCACAGGAAGCGACAATTCGTGTACTTACGTACCGGAGGTATGCCAATATTACAGTGACAGTGGTACGTCTTCGTTTTCAGTGGACTGAGCCAAGTACCACGTGGGTTCCACGTGGTTACATGGTTCTCTCACTATCTTAGCCCGAGCATCAGGCCCCTTTTCCCTTCCTTAAATGCAGGTGGATGGATGGGAAAACCCTGTCTGGCCGCATGTAAAAAGCCAAAATTAGGCTTTACACCCGATTGGTCTATCAGACAAAGAAATTTAATCTGTCTTTTTGATTGGTTAATGCTAATTATATTGTACTTATCTATTGTTCATGATATATTTAGTAATTTTAACTATAAAATATTAGATTGTTATTATTATTATGTGAAATTGTCTCCATTTTTGTTGGATATACTATAAATATAAATTGACTTAGCCTTCTTAGCCTGTGTACAGCCGTTACTCTCGACGAAACGCGCGAGAGAACGTCTGTGAGTTGGATGCATAATCCTTGTTCACGTCACGTGGATAGTTCCCAGATTTGGGGACCGGCCTCTGATTGGACAGTGCTTTATTTGAATAATTTATGACAAATGAAGCAATTCCACTGGTTAATTGATAATTAGCATGCGTTGAAAATAACAACACAAAAATTTTAAAATTCCAGATCAAGAATCAAGATTTCCTTCGGGGCATACTCGTGTAAGACTCAGGTAATCACTATCTGGGTACTTACATTTTGGTGTCATACATAGAAATAATAGATATCTATTATTTCTATGGTATCATAAGACCATGCAAGCCATACGAGACAGGGGGGGGGGGGACTCCCCCCCCAAAAAAAACTTTTAGAAAACCATGGAAATTCGGGCAAATCCCAGCAAAAATGAAATTTTGCTAATTCTGCGGCATGTATATAAGGGACATGTACTTTGTCATACTTGATTTTAATAAATACTAAATAGACCGAAAAATACTACAATTGCTAGCTACCAGTGTTCCACATAAATATAAGCGTTAGTTGAGTGGGATTATTTTAGAAGCTTTTCTTCGAGAGGTCGAACTGTGATCACCGATCTGTACATACAGACTTTTGGCATTTCCGAATTCCGCCTATAACTATAAATCTAATTTAATTTCTAGTCAAAATTGATGATTTTTCCTGTTTTCAAACCTTATAAGTATATCATCTTTCGTCTACATCCAGTCCAACAGCATCTGACACGGACGTCAAGTTATCTTTCCTGGAAGAAACAAATACAGTAGACAGCGTGGCCAGGCACATTTTTCAAGCTTGCCCGGTCTGGATATACACTCAGAGTAACATCACAAGCATCAACAAATACAGTAGTTATTGTATGTGCCCTTTCACCTTCCTATTGCAGCAATCAGGGCGTGCGCAACCCCCCCCCCACATTTGCACCCCCAAAGGAAGTTTTCCCACCAGCTCAGAGAAATTTGCACACACCCCATAAATTTAAATGCTCGTTGGAATAAATGACAGTAGAGTATGATTGAAATAATAATTTTGAACTAAATAACATCAAAAATTTCCCGGGGACTTCCCTTACCCCAACTCTATTCCCACCAGCGAATGTGCCCCCAGAAACCCCCCAGATGGTTGCTGCTTGCTCGGCGGTGATACGCGCTCCCCCTCGGTCACCTGCCCACTTGAATGTTTGGATTTTTCACACCGCTCCCCACAAGCAAAATCCGAAAACATCCGTCTATGATTCACATGGGATCAGATCGTTGTACTGCCCTGCAGTGTTAGAATACTATGAAGCTAGTTTTGCGTGGAAATATAAGCTATAGTTTCTGCACAGATTATTAACGGGATAGTCTGGAAATATTATGTATGTACAAAACGCTGCATAACCGTTAGCTATATTCAAAGCAAATTTTCAAAGCAAAACAGTTTTTGATCATAGAGAACTTGGAGCTATTTTATCACCTTAATAATTCTGTTAGTTCTCGTTTTATCTTCTTCACGATCGGGAAGCCTTCGTAAGCAATCGCCGAATAGATTTGAATTAAGCTCGCTCCTGCTCGGATTTTGTCGTAAGCATCACGGCCGCTCGCGATCCCACCAACACCGATAATAGGAAGCTCCCCTGTAAGATAGGAAAAGGCGATTTAAAAATTAGACTGGTGAGATTAGAGAAAGACGATAGCTACCGTGCAGACGATCTTAAATTTTTAAATTTTTTTTCCAAATTTTACTGTGCAGAAGATATCAATTTTTTAGGGCGTTAGCCACAATAAAAAAAATTGGGGGTTCATGCGCCGATAGAAATTTCCTAGTTTAGACCTGCCAAAAATAACATGACTATATTATGAAAAAGAATTTAAAATATTTAAGATTGTTCAACTTTAAAACGAAGAATTTGGAACCAGATCAGTGTTGCAAAAATGACATCTAGCTATATGTAATTACCTTTAGTTAACCTGTACATATCTTGGACAGTTCGTGTTGATAATTCTCTCAAAGGTTTACCACTAAGGCCACCTGTTTCGTGCTTATGTTTACTTTGTAGTGAGTCTGGCCGTGATGTTGTTGTATTACATACAATCAGTCCATCCACTTTGTACTAAATATAAATGAGTTATAAGACTGATTAGTATTGACTTTAATCTCAGAGGCGCCTGGCTATTTATCCACCTAGCATAGTATGGGTAATTTAGCCAGAACATTATAGCCCTACTGTACACCTTTTATCTTTCGAGTTCTATTAAAATTTAGTCGTCGAAGGCGAGGTGCGGCAAGCCTATATTCACTGAGCCGAAGTGAATATAGGTTTGTAATATTCGCAGAGCCTGAGGCAACTAATTGTATAATTAGTATAGTATAATTTCAGTATTGAAAAAGTTTTATTTGTACTGAAATACAACTAATACAAGTGTTTATTTTATGAATATTCCGTCTGATTTTCAGCCATTTTATTGGGAAAAGCAATAGTCACCGCAGGCCTAGAAAATATATATATCTTCCTGGCAGCAAAATTCAAAAATTAAAATTTCCTGTGTAAGTCAACTACATAAAAGTCCTGCATATGTAAATTTCAGAGAACGTGTGGACCATACGATACCGCACATCTCGACTGGCAAAATGCTCGAATTGGAATTTTCAAACAATAAGTAAATTATATGGCATTCCTGTATACAAGATAACAAAAATTTCCTCCAAGGTGCAAGAAAATTTCCTGCTAAGATATTTTGTTAAACATTTCCTGGCAGCGGTGCTGCTGGCGCTGCCGGACATTTTCCAGCACTGAGTCACCGCTCAAAGCAGTCTGAGCAGTAGCTATTGCCTCAGAGTTACTGCTGAGGGAGCCAATCAGAATGCTCAAAGGCCATTTTCCAATACTGAAATTTTTCAATACTGAAATTATACTAAGAATAGGTTCGAGTCACATTGAGAAATTCTCATTGAGATTTGAACCTGCGACCTTAGAGGTGAAAGGCAAGACATACATTTTAATGAGAGTTCGGGTTATGAGTAATATTTCTGCTGGGGCTACTGTATATAATATATCCTGAGATAGATCAGTGTGCTTCGCATAGACACACAGATACGGAACCCAGCTACTCACGGGAGGCGTCGTGATGACTGCAGCAATATCTTCTTTAGCTTCTTGAGTGAGGTCAGCGGCAATCTTCACCAAGATCGGTGGCTTGTTATCTGGGAGATTATCACGTGTTTTAATTACCTGGAACAAATGTGAGCCGTCAGTAAAAATAGAGTTTCAACATTCGTCCATATCAGATTTTTTTAGGGGAGGGGAGGGATTATTTAACTATTTTTTGGCTGCAGGGTCGATTCCTGAGGACCTATAGAAGAATTTTTCGAAACTGCTCCTGGCTAGGTCGTAAAATTTACACTCGAAAAAAATATTAAAGAAAATAGATTTTGCAAAATGTGATTGGCCGACACAAATTTTCAATTTTGAAAAAATTGAAAATTTACAAATTTTCAATTTTGAAAAAAATTGAAAACAATGATATTTTCGGAAAATTTTCTGTCTGTGGAAAATTTTCTGTCTGTGGAAAATTTTCTTGAGTGGAAACGGGCCTTTACAAAGAGCCGTGTAGTGTGACAATATGCTTTACTTTACCTCTTTCAGTAAGGCTGAAAGTTCATTCTTGCCTTGAAGAGACCTCAGACCAGGAGTATTAGGAGAGGAAATATTTACAGTGATGTAATCTGCAAACGTGGCAAATTTTTCAACACCCTCGACGTAGTCTTGCACTGCACTTGTTGAAGTCTTGTTCTTGCCCAGGTTAACACCTAGCACACCAAGTTGACTGCTTTGTGGTGTTCTACTTTGACTTGTTAATCGTTTAACCACCTCGTCATGACCAACGCTGTTGAAACCGTACCTGGACATAAATACAGATAAACTCTTAAAGCTTTCCCAACCAGGATTCGCGATTTACAGTATCCTGTATCCCTGATCATACCGAATTGGAATTTCGAATACCATGGGTCCGGTTATAAGCGCTAACTCCCGGTTAAAATTTAACCTGCTGTTTTAGTTTATGTATTTCTGCACGTCTGTTTATTTCAAAACTTCAGAGAAGAAAACTCCTACTGATTCAAACAATATTTCTGAAGAAATATTTCCAAATTTGTATAAACAAGCTGTTAGGACGATATAGCCTAATTTGGATACCCAAGGAATTCTTGCCTACCTAAGCCTTTTTAATTTCCACAAGTTTGATCAAGACAATTACGAAAGTCAGTTAATTGTCCTAACATTGTGCAGTGCGGTTAACATTGAACTATGTAATTAAGTAATGCAGGGTCTAGAATTTCCAGTATCCCGATATCCACAGGATACTAAAATTTGGTTTTGGATACCAAACTGTGTGTGACTTGTATCCCGACTGGATGTTACAAAATTTCAAACATTAGGATAATGCGAAATTAGTAAATGTCTCCTGTGGTCTCCCAATAGCTTTGAATACTATGATTCGGCCTTCTTGAAGATAACGTGCAGCCTTTGATTTCTAACTTGGTCATCTATTTAAAGTTTGTTCGTTCACGGCAACCAGGTATTATATCAGTCATGTTTTCGCTTGCTACTCTGGTTTAAATAAATGATTACAAAGCCCAGTAGAATTGTAATCAGGACCCAACGTTTCGACACTCCAGCTAGTCTAGTGTCTTCATCAGGGGTGATCTAAAGTTGCAATGTGGCTTCTTAAATACCCAAGGGATGACGTCATCTGCCATAAGATGCACGTATTCCTCTGGGGCCAGTTGTTCAAAGGTGGGTTAGCACTAACCCAAGGTTTAAGGTTACAGAACACCTTTGAGTGTTAATTTTGCCTAAAATTTTTTTATTGGTTTCAATGAAAGCATTAGACTAGTTCTACTATCTGACCAAGTTTGAACGAAAAATGTTGAAAACTCGCAGAGTTATTTAATAAAATACATTTCGCTGCAATAAGAAAAACATTGAAAATGTAATATTCAAATTCAATTTTCGCACGAAACATTTTACGCTAATTACTGATTTTCAAACGAGTTATGCTCCTGCGGGTTTTAACCAATTTTTCTCAAATTTTCACAGGGCATAGCTAAATACGTCAGTTTCAAAATGGTGTTCGGCTTTCTTTTTATTTTGGATATTTTAAAAATAAAGAGCAATTCACTCAAACAATTCAGAAATATATTGCAGTCGTCAAAGAAATCGCCATATCAGCGAAATGACGAGATAAACAAAAATTTCCGAACACAATTTTTTAGAACAACTATTTTACTGTATAAAAATGATATTTTCATAAATATAACTTAAAACCAGCAGGAACATAACTCAAAAGCGTAACGGTACCGCGATTTAAGATTTTCCTGAATAATTCTTACATTATTTTATTGCTTGTTAATTTTACAACTTTACCATATTTTGCATGCACTGAAGAACATTTGGTGAAAATTTGATGAAAATCGAACTGATATTGAGCGCGCAGTAGCGATTTTCCGCAAAACGCCAAAAAGGGTGTCCTGTAACCTTAACCTAAAGTTCATCAAAGCAAACTTCCCGACAGCTTGTCTATAAATTTGGAAATATTTCTTTAGAGATCTTGTCTGAATCGATAGGAGTTTACGTACTTCTCTGAAGTTTTGAAATAAACAGACGTGTAGAAATACATAAACTAAAACAGCAGGTTAAATTTTAACCCAGGATTAGCGCTAACCCACCTTTGAACAACCGGCTCCTGGCAAATAGGCAGTTGTTGACAGTTGAATCTTCTGTTGTTATTGTAATTTATAACAATGAGAGACATGTGCTGCATATTTACTTTAATGGCTCAGGGATGGTAACCAGTATCCAGAAGTGGGATAATGGGTTCTCAGATGGGATACTAGACCTTTGAATCCTGGTATGCCAGGATTTTTCAGACCCTGCATGGGTAATGAAAACCTCTTACATGTAGTGAACTTTTGAGCTCATAGCAACTAAATAATATAATAGTTTGGAAGCATGTTCTATTTTGAGAACTTGGAAAGCAGATTTTCAGTGACAGAGCCAGCCTCGTACCCAGGCGCAAATAACGTACTAAAAATAGCAACACTACAGTGTTTTTAAATAGATCATTCTAAATAATACTCTAGTCTTTTAATATAGTATACCTATTAATAATAGCTTGATCTTCAGTCAATCTAAACACTCTTGGTTTATCATTCCCAGACTGAGGTTGTGGTGTGATGCTACCAATCTCAACAAAACCAAAGCCAATCTTAAACATGCCATCCATACATTCACCATGCTTGTCAAAACCAGCGGCAAGGCCCACAGGATTGAGAAACACTTTGCCAAAAACTTTGGATTCCTGTTTTAAAGGCACGGTTCAGCCTTTTGAATGATGGTTTTTAAGGCACATTTCAGGCCTTTTAATTGAAAAAAAAACTAACTAGGAAAATCAATTAAGCATAATTCAAGATTAGTAAACTTAATGCTTTTAACATTTTAAAAAATTTTTATTGTTGGAAACATTGAGTTTACTGATTTTGAATTATGCATAATTGATTTTCCTAGTTAATTTTTCAATTTAACATGCATGCTGTGCAAAGGTAATTATAGTAATAGATGGAAATTGTGAGAAATTATATATGATGCCATTATATGATGGAAATTTTGTGCGAAAATGATACATGTAGAGGTAATAGTATTGTTTCGAGTGCATTTGAAAAAAAAATATGCACGAGTGAGCTTTTCAAAGACTATCAAAATGGACCATTTGCATTATAGACTAAATTTTGATCTAGACAAAAATTTCATAACAGGTTGAAAGAGCATCACAAAATTAGTAATATTCCAAAGTTTCGTTGCGAAATGTTGTAAAATGCGGATAATATAGCCTTGCGAAATTTGCAATTTTCAGTCAGTTTGTACTACAAACGGGAAATTGATGCCCCAACACCCGATCGGGCTGTCAATTTCCCGTACGTAATACAAAATGACTGAAAAACGGCAAACTTCGCATGGCTATATTATCCGCATTTTACAACATTTCGCAACGAAACTTTGGAATATTACTAATTTTGTGATGCTCTTTCAAGCTATGATGAAATTTTTGTCTAGATCAAAATTTAGTCTATAATGCAAATGGTCCATTGCACGAGTCCAAAGGGTTTGAAAAACTCACGAGTGTATGTTGTTCAAATTGCACGAGAAACGATACAATTACTTATTAATAATATACATGAAAAAATTATGCAGTAAATCACGAAAAAATTATGCGTAAATCACACTTAACATTAAGAAAATCAAGAAATTTGAAAAATAAAAAATTAAGAAAATTTATTACTTGTATATCAGATAAAGATCGGCCGCTCATGTTTTAAATAGTACTTAGAATACTCATTAATAATGCGTGAGGAAAATACAAAAGAAATGAATGTTTAATCAATGTTTGTAAATCAGATAAAGATTTGTTCTGATTTACATGCATATATTTATATTATATTTATATTTATCAACTTTGCCGGCATAAAATTACACAGAGTGGCCGGGACACCGCAACAGCTTATTGCCAATTACTGCGGGCCCAATTGGATACAATCAAACAAACAACAGACATTCAACTGGACAGACTAACAAACCTACGAACAAACAATATTAGTTACTAAAAGCAGCAGGATATCGGATATGTAAGACTTCGTACAGAGTTACATTTCAAGCATATAGTTTTAAATGTTCGAGGATTATCAGGATTATAATTAACTTCTAAAGATTTGTGATAGTATTCCAGTAAGGCTGATCTAAAGGAATTGAAGCAGTTCGTGTCATAATTTAGTTCATCTACGAGAGCGTTCCATATTCGGCACGTTCTGACAAAAAACGACTGCTGGTAGGTATTGGTTTTACATTTGCGGACGACATATTTAGCGTTATTACTTGCTGATGATCGTGTCGTTCTTTGCATAATATGAATGTCAGGAAGAGCAGACATTTCCACCAAACCGTGTGTGATTTTGAAGAAGAGGATCATGTCTAGGTATTCATGCCATATACTTCAGCTTTGATTGAGAAAATGTTTATTTTTAAAATTACTCCGCCAATGAACTCATAAGATGGGTCGTTTTTTTTCGCATCTGATAAAGATCGGCCGCTCATGTTCTAACCAGTACATATACATATATACATATACATTTCGACCTGACTGGGAAAAGCAGCATTTGGTACGTTTTACTTACCAAAATCTTATCTGGCACACTTTTATCTCTCGGTATCATTCCCCAAGCAGCCAACTTTACTGCCAGCACATGAGCTTGCTCTGGATCAACCAGTCTAACAGCTGGCATCAACACTGACTTGTACAATCCCTCATGACCAGTAGCCGAGCCGTACACAACAGCAGCTGTTCCAAGACTACCGGCCACCAACAGTCCATACCTCAATTTTTTCCAAGCCTTCAAAATGTTCAACAAATGAATATTACATAAGCTTCAAACGCTTTTCCTTAATCATGTTAGTGTTTTAACCCTTAGCAAAGCGCCCTACTTTATTATTTTACTCTGTCTAAACCCAGATGATTTTAATTGTTTTCAAGTTTCCAGAATCCCACAGGATAATGGGGAAAATTTGAAATTTCAAGCCATGCCACATTTGCATGAGCCATGCCATCAAAACCTACTCAAGTAATTCCTTTAGAAATGAACTAACATGGTTTAATAATAGTATATTGCAGAATCGTAGTTTGTTCAAGTTGAAATTTGGGCATAATGTTATATGGACAAGCATCTTATAAACATATTGGCATTTTTCTCGATTGAAAGCGAAGGAAAATATCACTAGAAAAAAATAACAATATTACTGGAAAAGATAACTTGTTTTGGGACAAGAAGTACGAACACAACTTGTTGACAACTTGTTGGCAGTCTTGCTACAAGATGTGAGATTTTTACGCCTCATGTGCACACGTAAAAACTCACAAGGTCTGCGGCAAACAAGTTATTACAAATCTGTTCACAAGTTGTGTTCGCACTGCTTTTCCCCAAGTTTGGAATAAGCTGTCAAGAACTTGCAAGAAGCTTGATGGCATTATCAGATTTGTTACAAGGTTGTTCTAACAAGCCGACACAGTCATGATATAACAATATTGTTATAATCTTGTGCCATCAACCTCAGTAACATCCTTGTTATATCATAACTGTTAAACTGTATCAGATTCGTTAGAACAACCTTGTAACCAGTCTGATATCAACAAGGTTGTTGAGAGACAAGCAGTGCGAACACAACTTGTTGACGACTTGTTGGCAGACTTGTTACAAGATATGTGATTTTAACGCCTGCATGTACACACGTAAAAACGCACAAGTTGTCACAGGTCTGCAAACAAGTTGTTACAAAGCTGTTCACACACTGCTGAAAAGTTGTCTTCACACTGCCTGTTCCCAGTTGTTGTAACAAGTTCGGAACAAGCTGTTATCAACTTGTCACAAGCTTTATGGCATTATCAGACTGGTTACAAGGTAGTTCTAACAAGTCTGATACAGTCATAATATGACAAGAATGTTACAAGGTTGACGAAACAAGGTTGTAAAAATATTGTTATATTATGACTGTATCGGACTTGTTGGGACAACCTTGCAACAAGTCTGATGGTATCAACAAGGTTGTTACAAGTTGGTAACAGCTTGTTCCAAACTTGTTGACAACTTGCGACAAGCAGTGCGAAGACAACTTATTGGCAGACTTGCTACACATGCAATAATCTCACAATTTGTAGCAAGTCTGCCAATAACACGCGTAAAAACGCACAGCTTGTAACAAGTCTGCAAACAAGTTGTTACAAGTCTGTTCACAAGCTGTCAACAAGTTGTGTTCGCACTGCTTGTTCCCAGTTTGTTGTAACAAGTTTGAAACAAGCTGTTAACAACTTGTAACAAGCTTGATGGCATTATCAGCCTTGTTACAAGACTGTGCTAACAAGTTTGTTACAGCCATGATATAACAAGGATGTTACAAGGTTGTCAACACAAGGTTGTAACAATCTTGTTATATCAAGCATGTAACGGACTTGTCAGAACAACCTTGCAACAAGTCTGATAATTTCGACAAGGTTGTTACAAGTTGTCAACAAGTTGTTCCAAACCTGTTGACAACTTGTGACAAGCAGTGCGAATACATCTTGTTGACGGCTTGTTGGCAGA